CGTGACGCCCCCGGGACAGGCGCTGGCACAGCGGCTGCAGGACAGCTTGGCGTGGCTGCGGGCTGGGGTCGGGCAGCTGCCAGCCCTGCTGCAGCAGGCAACGTGGCGAGCCCGGCGTGGCGTGGCCGAGGTCCACAGTGCCTTGGGGACCGTGGTGGCCCAAGGACGTGAGGTGGTGGCCCAAGGACGTGAGGTGGTGGCCCAGGCCTGGGAGGCACTGGTGGTGTTCCTGCTCCAGCATGCGGTGGTGCCATGGCTGATGGATGCTGCTGAAGCCGGCGCCACGGCCGGCCGCACCGTGCACCACCCCGACAGTCCCCCAAACCTAAGGGTGCCCCGGATTCAATCAGCTCCAACCAGGCCATGTGAGGCTGTGAAACCCTGCTGTGCCCTCGGTGACACCAACATGGCTCTGCTCACCTTCACGTCTGTGTCTCGGTGTTATTCTGTCCCCCGGTGCCGCTGTCTGCAACAGCCAAAGGGAATGGGGGAATTTGGGACACACACACACACACAGACTGACCTCATACCCACCTTTAAATCCCACACACACCCCCCCTGACCCAGGGTGATGTCCCAAGGTGGAGGGGGGCTCACATAGGCTCCTTGCTGGGGCAGTGTGGGGCTTAAACAGCCCCTCCTGGGGCATGGTGACACCGTCCCCTTGTCCCTGTCCACCTTCCCAGTGTTGGGGTCTGGGTTGCCCCCGTGTCTTTCCACATCTCCTCAGCCCGAGGACTGGGCTGAGCCCCTGCACCTGGCAGCAGCACCCATCTCACCCCATCTCTCCCCCTGCTTCCCGGCAGTTGGGTAAGAAAGAGGCACGCAGGGCTTTTCTTTGGGGGGGGTTTATTTGGGTTTTGTTTACAGAGCTCTGGAGCATGAAGTCAGCTCTGGAAAAAAAATAATAAGCCTCTCCCCAGGGCCGAGTTGCAGCAACAAGAGCCTGGAAGTGGGGTCGGGGCATCCTCCCTCTGCCACGGCACAAAGAGGACTCCAGGACGCAGCGTCTGGTTGAGCTGGGAACATCTTTATTTTACATGTACAAAAGCTTCAGATCTTTGCAAAAGAGCAGACAGACAGACAGACAAAGATGCTGCCCAGCACAAGGCAGGATGCTGCCACGGTTCAGTCCCTCCCTGGCTGGGAGAGGAGAGATAGAATACATGATTTTTACGCTGTTTTTAACCCAAAAGCTGGTGCCCGGCCCTGCTGCCTTCCCTGGAGCAGGGGGACCTGGCTCCAGCAGCTGCCTCCAGCCGGAGAGGTGGGGGTGGTGGGGAAAGGGGCTGGGGGCAGCGGGGAGAAGCCCCCGCAGCCGAGGCAGAGCCCAGCGCGGGCACTGGAAAATGGAGCAGAAAGCAGCCTGGTTGGGCTGTCCCGCTCCCCTCGCCAGCGCTGGCCGGGACACCCATGGGTGCCTGGTCCTGGCTCGTAGGGTGGGTCAGGGCCAGAGGGATGGGGGGGACCCATGGGAGCGTTTTCCAGTCCTGGCCCCGGGCAGGGGCTGCTCCTGCGCTCCCCTCGTCACAGTCAGCGATGCCTCAACAAACAGACACTAGGGCTCCTTGTGGTTTTCATTAAAAAACCCTTTATATTCATTTCATGTCGGTTGAAATCACAAGAAATTAGGTAAGGGGGGGGTGTGCTGCTTATGGCACCTGGAATTGCTACCTGGATTAGAATGTTTTATGCATGCAAATGGAGCTGTTCTGGCTCTACTTAATTGAGTTTAAAAAAACCAACCAAACAAAAAACCACAAACAAACAAAAGCCAACAAAAAACCCAAAACAAACAAAAAAAAAAAACCAACACAAAAAAGCCCCCAAAACAAAAAAACCAAAACAACAACAAAAAAAAAAAAAAAAAAAAAAAAAAAAAAAAAAAGGGGGAACAAATACAGACAACCAGCACAGCCCCCCCCGCTGCGGTCGGTGCTTTTGCGGGGCTGGGGGCACAGGACATGACCTAGGACATCAGCTACCGTGTGACTTAGTGAAGTAACTCAAGCAGGGGACGAGGCAGAGGCCGGTCTCCCTTCGTGGCCCCTCGGCCTCCTCCTTCAGGCGGGAGCCGCCTCCTCCGCTGT